CCTGTGCAGCTGCAGGGCTGGCCACAGCCTGTCAACACACAGGCTTTAATGCGGTGAAAATGCTTTGCATTGCCAGAGCTACCCTGTTTGGTTGGTTCCAGTCCCCAGAGGGATGGTAACATACACCTGGTGTAGGTACATCCAGGAGAGCAGAGCAGAATCATATAAAATTGATCCTCTCACCTGGTGACGAACTTGGCCTAATTTGTTGCATTTTCTCAGCAACTAAACTAATTCCTCTTCAAAATAGAACTATACACATTACCCAGCATTCCGGAGTTTCTGTCCTTTCAATCCAAGTTTCACCATTAAGTTTCCAAAGTATTTTCTAACATATAAAAATGCTATGATAAAATCCATGCTTCTGTACAATTTTTAAATAATATGATTATAAAACTATTTCCTATCATGCTATAGATACAGAGATGGTTTGTAGTAACAACCATCAGGAAAATATTATTTCAAAACATTAGCATATGTTCAAGGACCCGAGGCATGGTACCTATTACTAATTTTGAAGAAAAATCTGAAGGAGATTATAAAGCTCACTCAAAACACAGTACACTGCAGCAAGGAAACTCTTTTTAAAACAGACACAGGAATTTCCAAGGTAGGTAATTAGCAATGCTGCTATCTGTCAGCCAGGGTGGGGGATGGGTGGCTTACCCTCCTGGTGTCTGAGATGGCTGGCATTCATCATGCTCTGGGTCACAGTCCTCACTATTTCATTTGTAGAATGGAACATTCGCCTGACCTGTCTAAGAGCCCTTCCGAGTTTGAAACACTAAGAATTCATGCATCTGTACATATTAGCTTACACAATTTTAAGTGTAGGTTTTCTTTCAACCCATGGTTATCGCCTAACTGCTAAGACATTCTCAGATAAAACACACAATTTGAAAAACCTGCCTTTTTAAATCCAATCTCCAAGGAGAATGCAAAGGTAATTGTGTGAGCCCTTCAAGGAGCAGTTTTCCCTATCTGAGAGGAGACTATAGCACAGGACAGACAGCACAGGGCTTCTTAAGTTACCCATTTCTACTACCCCTCTGCCATGCCGAATCCAGATGCAGAGAGGGAGGACAAGACCAGGCTGCGGAACCACAAAGAGACAGAAGACCTGAACAAGGAGGAGCTAACAGGCCCCCAGACTGAGAGCTGGGAATCCAGCATGGGACTGACTCAGACCCCCTGAATATGGGTCTCAGCCAGAAGGACTGAGCAGTCTAAGGGACCTCAGACAGTGGAACCAGGATGTATCCCTCCCTGGTGTACAAAATAACTTCGGGAGCACATTCTCCATACTTCATTAACCTAGAGGCAGGAGGGAGGGCCTAGTCCCTACTCCAAATGACTTGACAGATTTAGATGACCCCTCCTGGAGGGCATCACCCTGCATGTGGAGTGGAGGTGGGTGCGAGGGGAGGATGGGAGGGGTGCATGCGAGGGTGGGAGGAAAAAAGGGAGGGAGAAAGGGAGGGATGGAGAGGGGACTGGGATCGATATGTAAAATAAAAATAAGAAATAAAGAAAAAAAAACATTGGAAAAGATGGGAAAAAATAAATAAAACATTCTAAGAAGAAATTATTAACAGGTTTTTGTATGTTATCCACAAATAGAATGCCCTGCCTTTTCCTTCCAACCAGATCTTATGAAAGTCTGTCTTCCTGATGCTGTTCCAAAAGCTGGGCATCTAGGGAATTTCAGAGCAGGAAGAATGCACCTAGCTCTTAGCCTTGCAGATCCTCATGGTATCTTTGAATGGTATCAAGATGGAAAGTAAGAATGACATGGAGGATAAACTACAGCAAACTTGAGTAGCAAAACTTCCAACATCTTCAAGGAAGTAAGCTTCCAATTAGAAAGAACCCCACCCAGGCCCAAGGGAAAAGAATGACATTGCCTGAGGAAGAAAGCCATAAATTGGTTGCCTTGTATCACAGCCACTTCTAAAAGATGTTAAAGTAGGGTGTAAGTGATTTTAAATGAATACTGCAATGGGCTTTAATTCACATGCACTGTCAATCATGATCTTTCATGAGAACTTACTAATTGTGAACCACGTGTTTCAACCCAGCCTTCCTGTTCATCTTTTACTGTGGAACATTTCTCCCTTAAAATCAATAAACAGAATCAGCCCATCAAACATGTTTCAAAGCCTCCCTGCTTTATAAGAGAAACCTTATTGTTTGCCAATGACTTGCACTCAGGGCAACCGAACAGACAACAAAAATTAATGGTGAAGAGTGACTGTCACCAGAGAGCACTAATGTGGGGGGACAAATAACTGCACTGTCCTAAAATCTTTGCTTCACTAACTAGGAATGTATTACAAATTTGAATAGTTTTTCCAATTAGGATATTAAAAGATATTTGTCTTTCTTCAAATGAAATTTGGTAAGGAAAAAAGGATGTCTGCTGAGCACTTACCTCCCGCAGTAAAGTAAAATAACAGCCAAAATTTAGTTTTAAAATGGAATGTTGTAGGTTTCTAATAACCGTGTATAATGGTAATGAATAGTATTTATATAACAAGTGTGATTACTTTAAAGTCACAAATTTATGTTTCACATTTCCTATCATTTCCATATGCTTATTGTGTATTTAGCACTTGTCTTCCAAGGAATGTAGAACACCTGTGAGCTTCTAGCTGCCGTGTACTAGGACCGTACAAAATAAGGATCTTCTAATACATCAGCAGGTTCATGCAGGAGAGCACAGTGAGGTGGAGGGAAGAACAACAACCTCAAAACAAACAGCCATGTCTGAACAGGCAAGTCATCTTCATTTGATCAGTCACTGCTTTGGAAATTGATAGAAAAAAGACAAATAAAAACCATTGAACCTACAGAGTTCCCGAATCTTCAATAATGCACAATTTTTAACTGTTCGGTTATCAGATGGCAAAGGAATAATCCTTATAACACAGGTTCTATCAGTACTGTATAATATCCACACACCCACCAACCTGTCATCAATATCTCATTTCTGTTATTTATGAGGATATTTTTACTGTTTTGGGCAGACTAACATCTTCATTATTCTTTAAAAATAATGGTAGTCAGCCAGTTTATAAACACCACATAAACACTTAACATGTTTAATGAAACTGTATCATATATTTAGCCTTTACTCAGGTAATTATAGGATCAGAAATATTACCCACAAATAATGAATGCTATTTCACAAAATAAGCCATACAGAACTGAAGATCCCAAGATACTCTGACTAGACTATATAACCAATTCAAAACAACACATGGATTCACATCGTTTTGAAAACTCCTGAATTCAACAGTAGGAAGCAATCTGCAAAAGAGTTTATTATCACTTAAGGCATGAGCTACTCTACTTAAAAAGAGCAAAGTCTAAGTTTTATCTCAAATGTAAAGTACTGTAGACATGAAACACTTAAAAGGAAAACAGGTCCTGAGTTTATTGATGCAAGTGTCCTCCTATTTTAAGTTAGGGATTAATGGCTAAATTTAAGTCCTTTATACAATGGCTTGGAGACAGATGAAATTTACTGTTCACTGTATGTGGCCAATGCTGACAGGGGGTGAGGGATTAGAGATGAGGTGAGGGATTAGAAAATTGAGGGACAACAAGGGTATTAATGAAGAATTGCTTTAATTTATACCTAAATATGACTTATTTCATATGGAGGTATATACAATTCCATAGTGCTCAGAGCTTAGCCTTTTTTAAAAAGCCCTCAAATTCTTAAAATATTTAGCACAAAAACCCGGTAATTACTTACGACACTTGTTCCTAGATGCAGATATTTATCTCTGGTTATTTCTTTAAACTTAAATGCAGTCATGGTAATTTTAAGAATACATTCTTTAATCCACTTTGAAATTTAAAAAAATTCTCAAGATTCGGAATTCCGATTTGTGACCTTTGAAAATAGTTTGTTTTAAAATATTTTATTCCAGAATATTTTAAGATACTTTATTTTCATACATTTGTTGCTACCACATGACTCACACCTGGCTCTAAAATTCCATGGAGCAACTTCACTCAGTTTTACTAATATTTCTGTCTTAAACACTTCATTAGTCTATACAAAGTGGCAGCTGTGAGATATTTATTATAAAGAACTCTTCACTATTGCCAACTTCCCAACGCTGAACACCATTAACTTCGGGACCCTTAATCGTCTGGCCCTGTAATTACTTTAATTCTATTTAAGCCCTAAAAGAACCCACCATTTCAGAACTATCCTGTCTATATACATAAGACACTGCTCCAGTTTGAGCTCAGGTCTGCTAACTCATGACTTATCATCTGAACCATGACCATTCCCTATCACTGCCTTTAATCCTTGCTTCAAAATACCAAACTTGAACACACCAGGTTTCTTTTCAGACTCTTTATTGATTTTTTTTTTTAAACAATCCAGAGTGTTGGATCTCAAAGCAGTTTATAAAAATAAAATAAAATTAAAAAAAAAAAATGGAAAAACCCTTAGGGCAGTTTCCTATAAACTGCAATCAAAAAGTTATTTTGTCAAAGGAGTTATCTGAAGTTGCAATTTGTCTTTAATATGCAGAACAGTAAAATGTAAGCATGCTCTTGGATGCAGGTGCACCTGTGCACTAGATTCTATGGAAGAGCTTGCTAAGGTCTGCAGGCAGTTTGGGGATGCAATTATCTTCTCCATAATTTATGTAGGTGAGGATGAAACTCATACTTATGAAAAAAAGTATTTTTCTCAAGAAACTTGAGGCAGCTTCTGTTGAATGCTATCTGTGCTACACCTTGAACTGAATTAAGGAAGAGTCCATGTCCATGCTGGAACTTTTGGGGAAGAAAAAAAAAAATCCCTCAGCAGGCATCGAGGAGTACCGAAAGGAAAGGGGTAAATAAACATTATATGCACAGTTCATGTTCATACATTAAGAGAACACATCAAGAATTTTACATAACAAGGAAACAAAATCCCTTCACTGCTTTCAATCAGTCACTGGCTGGTGTCAATGGTGGAGGAGGGTGGGAGTGGAACAATCCTAGTAAAGGGATGAACAAAAAACAAAACAAAACAACTTCAAGTCTACACCTCATGCAGAGCCATCTTGCCCAGTCCTGTTTCTCAGACATCCGAGTTGGAACTGAGATTTGTTAACCTGGGGTCCGCATTGATTTCGTATCTGTAATGATAGCCTTCCATGTGATCCCTGCAGGCATCTCTGATGTTATGCATCCACTTTTTAATGCCTTTGCGGTTCAAATACAAAACGAGGAGGAAAATAGCGCCTATCAGAGCTAAAACAATGCCCAGGAAGACATAGGAAGTCTGCAGGGATGGGGGAAGGATAGAATCACAGTCCAGGTCAGAGCTGCTGAGGTCCAGGAGGGCACGATTTCTCATTTTTTCTGGGAATGCACAGGTGAGCCTGGCTTTATCTGGCACCACCTCTGTCTCTTTTAGCCAGGCCACCATGTCAGCTATGTAGCAGTCGCAAACCCAGGGATTGTTGTCCAGGTACACCCTGACACTAGCCAGGCTTTGCCACTCAGCCAAAGTGGAGTTGTGAAGGACCTTGAGGGCATTGTCCTCCAAATGGAGGCTTTCGAGGTGTGTCAGGTTGCGGAAGGACGCATAGGTCAGGCTCACCAGGGAGTTGTTCCGAAGGTCCAGGTGCTTGAGACTCGGCAGTGGGGCCAGTAAGTCCCGAGGCAGGTAAAGGAAGTGATTGCTGGCCAGCTCCAGATGACGCAGCCCTTGGAGCGCAAAACCTGAGCGCAGGGCAGCTGCCACCATGCCCTCGAAGGCCACCATGCCCTCGAAGCTTCCATTCTGCCGCTGATCCTCAGGGGGCACGATGTGGTTCAGGATCAGGTCCACCAGGGGGCTGGGGGCCGAGCCGCTTGCGTTGCTGCCGGCAAAGGCGAAGGCGCTGAGGTTGGTGAGAGGGTTGTGGCTGAGGTCGAGGTGGCGCAGGCCGGGCAGATGGTCGAAGGCACCGGCACATACCTCCTTCAGGTGGTTGCCACTGAGGTTGAGAGTTGCCAGGTCGGCGAGCGGCGGCCGCCGGGCAAAAGCGCCAGCCGGGAGGACGGTCATCTGGTTGCCGGTGAGGAAGAGGTTGCGAACGTAGGAGGGCAGATCCGCGGGCACCTCCACCAGGTTGCGGTTAACGCACTTGACTGTACGCGCCGCCTCGGAGCATTCGCAAGCCGCGGGGCATCGCTCGGCTGGCGGAGGCTGCACAGACCCCGAGGCCAGGAAGGCCGCCGGGGAGGTGGAAGACGAGGGTACCGAAGAGCTGGGAGCCGACGCGGAGACCCAACCCAGCAGCACCAGTGCCAGCCGTGCCAGCCGCAGCCGCCCATCCCCGGCGGCCGGGCCCCGGGAGACCGCCCCAGGCATCGCGGCTCGCAGCTCCCCGGAGCTGGGACGGCGCCCGCTCCGAAGGCTCGACCGGCTGGGCCCGGCGGTCGCGAGCCGCCGCAAGCGTCGGCTGCAAACTTTCCTTGCGTGGGAGTCAGGGGAGGGGGGGCACGACACCAAAGCTGGAACTTGGCTTACCCCGCGCCACCGGGCGTCCCCCTCCCGGAGCGGCTCCCCGCCCTTCCCTCCAGCGAGTACGCACGGCCGGTAGCGACACGGGCCTCAGCGCTCCTCCTCCCGCCGCCGCCGGGTGGCACTTCCTCGACTCTTTTGTTGGCGCCTTTCACAGGGCAGGATCGGCTGAGGGACCTGGGACAAGAGGGAGAAAAGTGTGAGGACAGCCGCAGCGCCCCGAGTACGAGCCAAGTTGTCCCCACCGGGCCCTAGCCTCCGCGTGCGCCCTTCCCCACAGGGGGACGCGATCCCTACTCCCGAGCACTAAGCCGGCCTCTTCCGGGCCCACATCAGTACCAGAGCCACCTCCCGCCTTGCTCCTCCCGGGATCGCACTCTTCTGTCGCCTAGAACTTCTCGCAGAGCCGGCTGTGTCCTGCCAGCAAAGTTCTCCCTACCCCAGCTCCCCGCTCCCACCGCCCCCGCGGACCACCTGCCTTCCGGGGTCCCCGCCCCCGCCGCTCCTCCCCGCCCAGGTTGGGATGAGAGCGAAGTTTCTGGTTACGCGACTCTTTCGATCCCTTTTTGTACCTTCTTGGATTAGTGGGGAAAGGAGTGCGCAGCCATACAGCTATCGCCCACTCCCAACTCTCCAGTTCGTGGCCCTCCAGCCACCCCCACCCCCAGATCCCGAGGGTTTTCAGGCGTCTCCAGAAAAGGGGAGGGAACCCGCCAACAAAGCGTCCGTGGGACCGTGGGCGTGTTGGCAGCCAGGACCCCCGGCTCTTCTCACGCCCCAGTGTGCAAAGGAGCCCGGGTCCCGCCTCCAGGTTCCTGCCCTGGCCGCTGGGTCCCCGCCTCTCACCTCCGCGCCTGGCGCCTCCAAATCCAACTCGGAGTCCCCGCGCCTTCCGGGCTCCCGCTGCGGGCGCAGACACTCCTCGCACCCCAGCCCCTAGCCCAACCTCCACGCCTGGGAAAAACCAAGCCGGGGGCGGGGGAGGGCCGGGGCTGCGGGACAGATTGAGGTCGCGCAGCCCACCTCGGCTGCCAGATGGGGACTTTAAGGAGAGAGATGAGGGGGCCCGGGGCTGCGCGCCTTCTCCTGGAGGAGACAAACGAGCCACGCGTCTGAGAACGGTGAGGGGTTCTCCTTCTGATTCCCCCTCCCCGGCATCCTTTGGCGGCTCCTTATTTTGCACAGCGTATTTACCTCGGACAGAAACAAAACGGCTGGTGGATCTCTCGGAATTCACGCTGCTTCGGGCATCGCTGGCAGTGCTGAGATGGATTTCAGCATGACCCACATCAAGGCAAAGCAGCAGTAGAAAGGAGCGAGCTGCACACGTTACATCCGCCAAGGCGAACGCCCGGCTTGTGAGGGAGAGTCAGAAAGTCTCCTCTCGCGTGGCTCGGTTAGGCTGGCAACTTCAGATTCAGGAGTAGTTAGTTAATGCCTTCCTACCTGTGCCACCCCCGCATGCCTTGGGTAGTTATGAAACTTGTGAAGAGAGTCAACTTGAAGTGGGGGAGGGTTAGTGGAAAGGACACTCATTCTTGATTCATTATGGGTTTTTTTCTCCCTCTCTCAAAATTAAAGCCAGAGGGAAGAAAACGGCAACTAAAACACCCCAGAAAACAAAGGCAAATAGCAAAGACGTGAGTCACCCGGAAAGCTCCCTCCACCAGATTCGGTGCGTTGTGTCAGCACAAGTCACTTAGGCAGGGAGCGCTCTGGCAGGAGGTGGGCGGGCTGACCTAGGAAAGAAGTTTGTCCCAAAGTCTGTCTCCCAGGGGGCGCTGGCAGGCGCCGGATGATGGATTAGGGAAAGGACTGGAATGCTTAGAGGACCAATGTCATTAAATCAGGGAGATACGGAGTTCCAAAAGCCCTGCCTTTGCTCTTGCGAAACTCTTTATCTTCTTTTCCCCAGTCAAATAATGTAAAAGGTGTGGGTTAGTCCCGTCTTGTTCATTTTAGAGAGAAAATGACGGAAGAATCATGGCTGGGAAAAAGAAGACCAGTAAAACTAAAGGGATCACATTAACTATGTTGGATATTGTTCCCACCTCATTGGTGGTCCAGTTCTGAATCTGTGGCTGATTGCTTCTGTGGAAAGAGAATTTACACAAACACCAGCCAAAATGGTCCAGGAAAAAGCCACAGAGCCTAGACACTGCAGATTTGTGCAAAAAGACAGTTTCATTAATTTGCATCTTCAGCACATTTATCTAAATCCTTTTCTCTTATTTTTAAGTGTTTCTGCAATATAGATGTGAAAAGCGTTGGGAGGGAGAAAACCGACTCAGAAGCTGAAGTCCTGTGGTATATGGCAGTCATGGAGATGGTTATATCAATCCATACATGTGCTAAGACTCAGAAGGCTGTACACCGAAAAAGGCAATTTTACTGCCTAGTTTTTGTAGTAAAGTAAATGGCATGGAAAGAATTTTTCTGGTCCTCTGGCATGGTCTTAAATCTGATTCTGTCAAAAGAGCAAGTGATCCCCTACTCTGCCTCTTTGGAATTTAGAACAACACAGAGTCTAATCAGATCCTCAAAACACCTCTAAGGCAAGATACAGTATCGTTAGGATTATTGTCCTATCCAGTGTCCTCTCTGTTCAGTTTTCCAAATTTAAAAAGCAAACAAACAAAAACGATATCTTTAGCTGATATGACCCAGCATCGATTATCTTCTATTTGCCTAGCCATGCCACTTGATAACAAGTGCTCCATTTACTCTGTGCATCACCTGCCAAGATAAAACTCCTCACTCTAGTTTTACGGATGAGAAAGCTGGCATGGAATTGAAGTATAGGACGTGGCCAATTGGAAGATGAAGATGGACACACACACACACACACACACACACACACACACACACCACAATTACAAACTTATGTAGCCCTAATTCTAATTGGTTTTAATAATAAAAATCCGAGCCAGATATTATAGGGGTTAATGCTGAAAGATCAAAGAAGCAGAGCAGCCAGCCACTAATTCTTACCTTTACCAAATCCTCTGACCAAAGATGCATTCTTGTCTCTAGAAATACTCAGACTGAATGCTCTGAGCTCCTGTCTCCTCTGCCTTATATTCCTCTCTCCACCCAGCCATGTCATTACTGTCTCCATCTCCCTTGGGGGATTAAAGGTATGTGGCCCCCAATGCTGGTATCAAAAGTGTGAGCCACCACTGCCTGGCTCTGTTTTTCTTTTAGACTGGATTAAGTTCCTGTAGCCCAGGATGGCCTTGAACTCACAGGGATCTGCCTGCCTTTGTTTCCCCAGGGCTGTGATTAAAGGTGTGTACCAACACTGTCTGGCCTCTATGGCTAACTAGTGCTAGCTCAGCACTCTGATCTTCAGGCACAAAGTATCACCACAAACTTACTCAAAAACATTTTTGTTTTGTAATCCAGTTACATGGTCTTCCCATATGAACACAGATGACAATGGCATCATTCAGTATCAAAGGTCAGGTATGCCTCAAGGTGGCCAGGTAAGCAGTATACCTGTCTTTCAACTTTTTCCCTGTGGTTAGCAACTAGCTAGGAGCAGAAATGACATCTTTTATAGCTCCTACTTACATGTGTGATCTCTGCATATTTCTCCTACTTAAATCTGTAAAATGGGACTGCAAGTAAAATTCAAAGGATTTCCATGAGAATTGAAATACACACTGCAAAATTGACTGTTGTTATTATTCCCTTCTTAGTTATTCTCCTTCCAGGTATCTATTATGATTTATTTCTATAGTCATGCTAGTGACAGTAGTATAGGGTGAGAAAAAAAATAGAGTTGCTATATTTAACAAATGAAAATACAAGGCACAGAGCTCATTTTAATTTCAACCAAACAGTGAATACTGTGGTGGTGCCTATGGTTCACTTGGGTCTTCCCACTTTAACTAGCCTAATCTAGAAAACTCCTCACAGGCTGTACAAAGTCATGTCTCCTTGGTGGTATCCTGTAATGCAAAATGGATTTGGACCAACTTAAATTCTGTATAGTCTTTAAGAATCCCAGCACTGTTAGAGGTGGTGACCCATGCCTTTAATCTTAGCACTCAGGAGGCAGGCAGATCTCTGTGAGTTTGAGGCCAGCCTGGTCTACAGAGCTAGTTCCAGGACTGGCTCCAAAGCTATACAAAAAACAGCAGCAACAATAACAAAAACAAAAACAACAACAACAAAAAAAAAAAAAAAAAAAAAAAAAAAAAAAGGAAAGAAAAGAAAAGAAAAGAAAAAAGAATTCCAGCATGATTTAAAATTCCCAAGCTCAAGTTTCACTTGAAGCTCAATCTTTTGGCTCACTCTCTCTCCTTCTCATGCTCTCATGCTGTTGATCTGAATTTTAAAACAACAAACAAACAAGGAAAAAAAAAAAAAACAGAGCCAGAGGATATGCTGTCTTGGAATTCTTTCTCTCAAAGAAATTAACTAATGTTAACTAATGACTTTTTAATTCACCATCACACAAGTTCTTAGGACACATGCAGAATTTTAGCAGACTCTTGGCCAGAATGTAACAAGAACTGGCCTCTACCCAGGTCTTGATAGCCTTGTCCCCTTTTGAAACCTTGTTAACTGAGCCTCTATGGTGTTTTCCTAAGCACGCTTGTTTTCTAAGTTCCTACCATAATGAATCATTAAGCTATGCTTTCAGTATTTGAGGGCTCATCTAGTCAAAGTTTCAAACTCTTGCCCATTCTTCTTACAAACAAGTTCCAAAAGCCTGTGGACCATGGGAGCCAGTTTATCATGTAGTGACCTCACACCCAGTTCCAGTTTCCTTATCTCAGTTATTTTCCTGCAACTGTGATAATATGCTCTAACAGACACCATTTAAAGGACAGAACATTATTTTTTTTTTTTTAAAGCTAACTGTCCAAGGGTGCAGCAACGTGTGTCCAGGGAGTCTTGGCAACAGGATCTTAGGTCAGATGATCAAACAGAGAGCCATAAATGCCCTATTCATCTCACTTTCTACCTTTTATTCCTCCAGGTCCCCAGCACAAGGAATGGTGTCTGCCCATCCCACTTGACCATGCCTAGATAATCCTTCACAGGTGTGCTCAAAGCTGTGCCTCCTAGGCAATTCTAGATCCTGTTAAATTGGCAATCACATGGCAAAGACTTTGCTGAGCTGCCTCTCCAGCCCCCCTCCCCACACTTTGCACATATTTTAATTCTATTTCTTCTATGAACAGGATCATGTCTACATACTATATGCATTATTTATAATCTTTCTTCATTTAAAGACATATTTGTGTTCATACATATACTGATATAAATAAATATATATGCTTTTGTGTGTGCACATGCATATGCATATTTTGTAAGTGTGTGTGTGTGTGTGTGTGTGTGTGTTCAGACAGATATTTATATGAAAGTGAGTATGTGTGTGGAAGCTAGAGGACACCTATGAGTGTCATTCATCACAAAGTCTCTCCCTGGCATGGAAGTGACCATGTAGACTGATCTGGCAGGAACTCCAGCAATCTAGTGCTCTGCAGCTCCAGTACTGAGATTACAAGCCCTCCATTCTCACAAGCTAATTTACAAGTGCTGCTTGCAAGGCAACCACTTTACCCGTTAGGCCATCTGCCCATCTTACTTTCTTCCTTATTACTGCAAAATATTGCATCTTGTGGACTATTATGCTATAACTTTGGTTTGGGCTTTTAGAGACAAAATCTTAGTGTGAAACCCGGAGGACTGCCAGAAACCCTGTGCTGAACAGTCTGGTCTCATCCTCCTGCCTCTGCCTCCCAAGTGCTTGGTTTACAAGCATGTGCCACAATGGCTGGCTGACTTTGCAGATTTTCAATAGCATTATTGCAACATGGGTAACTACTTTTAAAGAAGTTTCCTGCAAGTGAGAACAACTTACCAGGATCAGTTCTATTTTGATTGTCTTAGGCATTTAATTATACTAAATTATCATACTTACTTTACTCTTGACAGCTTGAAAAAATTTTGTGCATAAT